AATGGTTGTCAATAGTCCTGGGTCAAGCATACTAAAACCTTTGAAATATTTTCTAGAGTGACTGTTTTTACTCGGCAGGTAAAACCTAATGATAATTAGGGTGGAGGCATTAGACATCACATAAACTTTTTCTAGCTATTGCTTTTTCAGTTCAGTGGCTAGTTTTCAGTGGAGATTCACTTAATCTGTGCAAATAAAAAATGAATTATTACTTTCTTACATTTCATTCATGTATTTACTAAATTTTCTGTATTGGTCATCATTTTTCATAGAAAACTATGTAAACTTTTTCTTGACCTTGGACATATTTCTAAGTTCAGTGTAGTCCAACTAGAAAAATAAACGGTGGAAAGCATAAGGACAGAATATTTCCTGGAAACGTAATAAATATATTCTTTAAAATGTTTGTTAACTTTTTTAAGTGTTTAAGAAATACGCATTTAGTACTTGGAGACAACTTTGCTTACAGTTCAAACAGTAGTGTGTTTTCTTTCAAGGGTAAAAGTTTTAAATATTGTGGGGATTTAGAAAAAAATTTATGGCTTAGTAGGCTCAATATCATTTAAAATCTAAGAATTTCTGTAACCTAATAATAGACTAATTTCTGGCAAATAAAAACCTTTATAACACATTTATATTCCCCACAGTTTTACTTCTCAGGTTTAATTATAAAAGATATAAAACAAGAAAATATATTCTTCCTTATATATGATGAATCGCCTTTATGTAAATTACCATTTAAAAACAAAATCATCCCTTTGAACTTTGTGTCTTTGGATTTATTAAGATGTGCTAAAATTGCTTATCTTTACAACCCCAGCTAAAGCCATTTTTGATATGTAATCTAGTATAGGAAACAAAACACTAAATCTATTTAATTTTGGGACTCAAATTTCTCATGGCAAAATACCATTACATTTTTTACATTTTTGGATTTTAAAAAGTTAGTCATAAATATAATTGATTCTGAAATAATTATGTTTGTATTAGTCTGAAAATAGAGCTCATCTCAGCCCTTACAATCTTTACAGGTGCTTCTCATTCAGCTTATACAAAGTATAGATTTTTTTTGTCCCCCCCTCCAAGTGAGTTCACAGGAACAAAGTATGGATTTGAAGGAAAACAGAGTCCTACTCTTGGTATACCCTCAGAGCTCTTATCATATCCGGGTAAACACTGAAGGAAGTGAGGTGTTTGCCTTCAGTCAGTATTGGAATATGTAGAAATGTGGAAGTAGAAATTGGATGGACTATGTCTTTTAAATCTTATTTTAAATAAAAAGCATTTTTATTTAATATATTCATATTATTACTGGTGTCAAAAATAAGACTATAAAGTCATTTATTGGATAAATTTTATTTGAAATTTTAAAAACATTGCAAATAATGTGCAGTCACTTTTAAAACTTGTAATTTACTTGAGGGATATTTCATTTTGAATAATTTGATGTTTTTCTTTGATTCCCAGAATGTTTCTTATATCTGATCAAAATCCTTTTTTTTTTTTTTTCTTTTTTAAGAGGCAGGATCTCACTCTGTTGCCCAGACTGGAGTGCATTGGTGTGATCATAGCTCCCTGCAACTTTTAATCTCTGGGCTCAAGTGTTCCTCCCACATCAGCCTCCTGAATAGCTGGGACTCTGTAGGCATACACCACCATGCTGAGTTTATTTTTTCTTTTTTTAGAAATGGGATCTTGCTATGTTGCCTAGGCTGATCTCAGACTCCTAGCTTCAAGTGATCCTCTCACCTCAGGCTAATATTAATTTTATTTTTCTCACTTTGTAAGTAAGTAGGGGAGACTTTAGCTAATTTTTTCAAGTAATTTTTCTTAACTCACTGTTTAATGGACTTGCATTTTAAAAAGCTCATCAATTTCTATTGAAAGAAACATAGTTCAAATATGAGTCTATTAAAACAAAAAAATGTATTGGAAATAGACACTGTATTGGAAATAGTTCTCATATTTAAAAGTGGGCTTTATCATTACATTATCTTAAGATTTTTTTTTTTTTTTTTTTTTGAGATGGAGTCTCGCTCTGCCGCCCAGGCTGGAGTGCAGTGGCCGGATCTCAGCTCACTGCAAGCTCCACCCCCCGGGTTTACGCCATTCTCCTGCCGCAGCCTCCTGAGTAGCTGGGACTACAGGCGCCCGCCACTTCGCCCGGCTAGTTTTTTGTATTTTTTAGTAGAGACGGGGTTTCACCAGATTAGCCAGGATGGTCTCGATCTCCTGACCTTGTGATCCGCCCGTCTCGGCCTCCCAAAGTGCTGGGATTACAGGCTTGAGCCACCGTGCCCGGCCAAGATAGTTTTTAAAGATTTGCTAATTTAGTAATTATGTCTAGTTCCTGAATATTCCTTTATTTGGAAAATTTGTGCAAATTTCATTTGACTCATCTTGATTTGGAAAAGATGAGGTATACTCTTCAAAAGAGTTATGTTTTCCCTTTCTGTTACATTTCTGATGACCAAGTATTAATATATCATGAATACATTTAATTAATTTTGACACTGCCTAAGGAAACCTATAAGGATATGTGTTTTATTCTAAAATAATCAAAGTTTTTTTAAATTAATTTTAAAATAAGATGAATCATCTTTTGGCTTACATGTCATTCATTAATCCTGTATGAGAATTTGATTACTGTGTCTGTACATTTCTTCCTCCAGACAGTTCCTTTATTTGATATCATAACTATTCATCGGGATTGAGTTCTTAATGTGAGTTTAACAAACTTGTGAGCTGATTTCATAAAGCTATCAAAAGCGCTTGTGGATAACTGAGGAATATGATTCAGTATGTCTCTGAACTTAAAATGTATTTTAAAAATTTAATTAGCTAACAGGTTTTTTTTTTTAAATTAACCTATTTCATTTGCTATATTTGTCTTGCCTCTGTTCTCAGCCAGAAGTCATTTTCTTTTAAAGGGTGCATGTGTTTTGACTTTTTAGAATTTTAATATTTTAGATTAAGTCATTCAAAAAGTATATTTCTTAGGCCAGGTGTGGTGGCTCATACCTGTAATCCCAGCACTTCGAGAGTCCAAGGCAGGTAGACTGCTTGAGGCCAGGAGTTCAAGACTGGCCTGTCAACACAATCAGAGACCCCTGTCTCTAAAAAAAAAAAAAAAAAAAAAAAAAAAAAAATTAATTAACTGGGTATGGTGGCATATGCTTTTGTAGTCTGAGCTACTCAGGAGGCTGAGGTGAGAAGATTGCTTGAGCCCAGGAGGTTGAGGTTATAATGAGCTATGATTGTGCTGCTGTGCTCCAGCCTGGGCAACAGAGCAAGACCCTGTCTCTTTTTTTGTTTTTTTAAAGTGTATTTCTTTTCTTTTTTTTTTTTTTGAGATGAAGTCTCACTGTGTCTCCCAGACTGGAGTGCAGTGGCGTGATCTCGGCTCACTGCAAGCTCCACCTCCCGGGTTCACGCCATTCTCCTGCCTCAGCCTCCCGAGTAGCTGGGACTACAGGTGCCCGCCACCACGCCCGGCTAATTTTTTGTATTTTTAGTAGTGAAAGGATTTCACCGTGTTAGCCAGGATGGTCTCAATCTCCTGACCTTGTGATCCACCTGCCTCGGCCTCCCAAAGTGCTGGGATTATAGGCATGAGCCACCACACCCGGCCAACTGTATTTCTTTGTTAGTTGATGTTTACAAAGTATGTCTTCATACCCACCAAATTATATTTTACTTCAGAAATTTATGTTATGCCTGCTTACAGTGTAGAAATATTTCCAGAAGTAGTTGCATAGCAATTTGGTAGGGTGACCACCTTTACTTTAACAAATAGCTATCATATGTTTTGAATGCATTTTATTCACAGTAGTAGATGGGAGTGACTGTAAACAGTTTACTGTTTGTTCTCTCTTGCTGTATTGTCAATTTCAAGATTCATGTGCTTGAAGCTTAGAGGATAAGAATGTTAGTGTCCATAGTGTGGGTATTATTTTTGTAAGCTATTTATTTACTTCAGTAAGAGCTGAACAGGCAGTATCTATGAGTCCTGCCTTACATTCTTATCCTAGGAGCAAATTAATCCACAACAAAATGGATTAATTTTTCAATTTTAGTGAAAATAATGGGAACGCCTTTATGCTTAAGAAAACACTAGTTACACCTTCTCTTCCTTTTTCAAAATATTCTGGGGGAATAATGACAAGACAACCTAAGACAGACCTTATAAATATTTGTCAGTAAAATTTTAATGATGCCTAAAGTACCATTTCAAACTATTATTTCTGTGGTATTTTCTTAACAAAATATTCAACAACTCTAAAAGATTTCAAAGTAATTTTTTTTTTTTTTTTTTTTTTGAGACGGAGTCTCACTCTGTCGTCTAGGCTAGAATGCGGTGGCTCGATCTCGGATCACTGCAACCTCCACCTCCCAGGTTCAAGCAGTTCTCCTGCCTCAGCCTCGTGAGTAGCTAGGATTATAGAGCAGTGCCACCAGGCCCAGTTAACTTTTGTATTTTTTTTAGTAGAGACGGGGTTTCACCATGTTGGTCAGGCTGGTCTCAAACTCTTGACCTCATGATCCGCCCACCTCAGCCTCCCAAAGTGCTGGGATCACAGGCATGAGCCACCGCACCCAACTAAAGTGATTTCTTTTGATTGATTAAGCAAAAATTTTCTAAGCACTATTTGGTACAGTCTGTACAGTCTTTTTTTTTTTTTTGTCCTTTGAGACACAGTCTTACTCTTTTTTTTTTTTTTTTTTTTGTCCTTTGAGACACAGTCTTACTCTGTCGCCCAGGCTGGAGTGCAATGGCGCAATCTCGGCTCACTGCAATTCTAACTCTCAGGTTCAAGCGATTCTCCTGCCTCAGTCTCCCCAGTAGCTGGGATTACTGGCATGTGCCACCACGCCCAGCGAATTTTTTTTATTTAGTAGAGATGGTGTTTCACCATGTTAGGCTGACCTTGGGTGATCCACCCGCCTCAGCCTCCCAAAGTGCTGGGAGTACAGTTGTGCGCCACCACGCCCAGCCAGTCTTTTTTTTTTTTTTTTTTAACCTTATATAACTGTAGATTCCAACTTCCACAGGCATGAAAAATACATGCTTATGTACATATATACAGACATACCTACCTGACTCCAAATACGGGGATCAAGTAAAACATTGACCAACATTTTCAGTTCAAGGTGGCCCGTTAATCCAGGAAATAGAGTACAATTAAAATAGAAGAAGAATAGAAAACTTGGGCCATCAGAAAATGTCAGGAACCAGAACTTTATGTTTAATTCTAATTTACAATAAGAGTCAAGAGGTTGAGTAGCTTTATGTATGATTAAAATAATAATACCAAACATTTCTACCCTTAAGTTTTACTTTTGTGCAACAATAATTCCCAAGGTTAAGCAGTCTCTTCTCTTATCCTGTGATCTTATAGCCTTATTTGCATTCCTTTGAGACACAGTCTTACTCTGTCGCCCAGGCTGGAGTGCAATGGCGCAATCTCGGCTCACTGCAATTCCAACTCTCAGGTTCAAGCGATTCTCCTGCCTCAGTCTCCCAGTAGCTGGGATTACTGGCATGTGCCACCACGCCCAGCGAATTTTTTTTATTTAGTAGAGATGGTGTTTCACCATGTTAGGCTGACCTTGGGTGATCCACCCGCCTCAGCCTCCCAAAGTGCTGGGAGTACAGTTGTGCGCCACCACGCCCAGCCAGTCTTTTTTTTTTTTTTTTTAACCTTATATAACTGTAGATTCCAACTTCCACAGGCATGAAAAATACATGCTTATGTACATATATACAGACATACCTACCTGACTCCAAATACGGGGATCAAGTAAAACATTGACCAACATTTTCAGTTCAAGGTGGCCCGTTAATCCAGGAAATAGAGTACAATTAAAATAGAAGAAGAATAGAAAACTTGGGCCATCAGAAAATGTCAGGAACCAGAACTTTATGTTTAATTCTAATTTACAATAAGAGTCAAGAGGTTGAGTAGCTTTATGTATGATTAAAATAATAATACCAAACATTTCTACCCTTAAGTTTTACTTTTGTGCAACAATAATTCCCAAGGTTAAGCAGTCTCTTCTCTTATCCTGTGATCTTATAGCCTTATTTGCATTGTGAGAAATTTCTTCTCTTGCCTGTCCGTTTTTTGTTTGTTTGTTTGTTTGTTCGTTTGTTTTCTGGTCATTGTACCTGGCACCTAGTATATTCTCAACATAGATGTACCAAAAGAAATCATGAATAAACAAGCCAGGTGCAGTGGCTCACACCTGTAATCCCAGCACTTTGGGAAGCCAAGCCAAGACGAGTGGATCATTTGAGGTCAGGAGTTCTAAACCAGGCCAATATGATGAAACCCTGTCTTTGCTAAAAATACAAAAATTAGCCAGGCATGATAGTGGGTGCATGTCATCCCAGCTATTCAGGAGGTTAAGGCAGGAGAATCGCTTGAACCCAAGAGGCAGAGGTTGCAGTGAGCCTCGATGGTGCCACTGCACTCCAGCCTGGTCAACAGAGTGAGACTGTCTCAAACAAAAAAAAAAAAAAAAAAAGCCAGAAGAGTCTTCTAAATTTTCTCTTTTGAGGATGAAGTCCTCACATGCTCCATTCTCAGCCTTGAGAGTAGAGTAGGAGTTTCTAGAGCTTGATTGTCTATCCATGTAGCCAGTATGAGGTGGAAAATGTATTTTCTGCTAATAAGTAGAAAGGCTGCTCTACCTTAATCATGCCAATTATATATTATGTAATCATACTCGACCAGTGATTTGAATGATGATGATGCAAATGTTTTTCTTAGGAATTAGGTGTTTCACAAAATTTCCAAACATCCTTTTTCCTTTCTGTATAACTAGCCCAAGAAAAACTTTGTCATTGATATCACAAATCTAGTATGTGTGTGTTGGGGATTGTGGAAGGGTGTAGATGATCTGTGTCATGGGGAAACTGCATTTAGTTCTTGCATTTTGTGAAGCCTCGGGGGAAGGACAATTATTTTTTAGACAACAAAGACAACAAGAGCATGTCAAGCACTCTCTCCATGAATGGTGGTATATTTTGGAATTTGTTTTTTGGTGGAATGGGGCGCATTCAGTTGGGCCTTTATATGATGCAGCTCTGAATAAACTTTCCATAACATAGCTTTATTTCTCAAGTGAATTATATCACTGAAGCAACAGGTCGCATGGTCTGTTCCCTCCAGGGTGGTACCTCTGCAGCTGGGCAAATGTTATCTAGAATAGGACAATCCTCTTTTCTCATAAGTGCCGTGTGTTCTATCTACACTGCTTCTGCACAAGATAAAACTTGAATGTTTCCTTTAAGACCTCTTCCAAAATCTTCCCATCATGAAATAGAATGTCGTCTATTCATCTACTTTGAGTGGCCAAGATGACATTTGAGCTGGTAGTTCCAGGAACTAGATGGCGTTACTTTAATGGTCTGAGCATCGGGTTATCTTTCCCAAAGTGGTGCATAAGAGTGGCTTACAGGTATTAATTTTTGTCTAGATAGTGTTAAATGTCTGTTTTAGTATTAAAAAATGCTTTGTCGGCACAAAACCTTTTTCTTATTTTGAGTGCCGCGATAATAAAGCTTAAATCTGTTAGTCTTCTAACCATGATCTTAGACTTCGCCTGGTTTGGGGGAGTTTATCTTATCCCAACCTGTACACATGTACTACCTGTACATAGTGGCTTCCACGTGTATAGATGTAAGCAGGCTCTCAGTATGTGCTACTTGTGTTTAAAGTGTTTCCAGGTAGCTCCTTGCTTGTGTCACATTCTCTTCTTAAATTTAACATGTTGACCTAAATCATCCTAATCCTTTTAACCATCATCACGTCCTAGTTTTCTCATTAGCTTGAACGGTACTTTCAACGTTAATGTAGCTCTAATATTAGAGCTGATTTTCCTTCCATTTTAGTGCTCTTTGCCCTTTAGCAGGTAGGAGATTCCTTCTCATTCTCGTCTTGATATCATGTCACATCTCTGCTTAAATCCATCAAACCCAACTTAAGAGTTTATGTAATCTTGTTTCTGCTTGTTTGTCTGCTTTATTTTATCCCACTGGTTCCCTCTCTGTTCTTGGCACAAGCCAAACTCACTGCTGCCTCGGGACCTTTGAATTAGCTGATGATGCTTCTCAGAATTACCTTGCTTCAGATCTTTGTATATCTGGCTTCAGCTCTCAGCTCAGGTAGCTTTCGCACATTCCTCAGTCACTCCCTATCACATGTCTCTGTTTCAGTGTTGAAAATGTATAAAACCAAAGACATAAAATTGGAAAGACTTCTAAATTCTGATCTTATGTCCTTCCAACATTTTCGTTAATGTCCTTTCTCTTAAGAAATGATAGTTATAATATGTAGTCATGTGTTATTTCTATGGAGCAGTCCACAACCTTTTATTTATTTTTTAAAACATTATCCCCCCTCCAAAAACTCTATGTTGAAGCCCTTATGTGTCTTATACATAACTGCTGCTTTGGCTTTGCTTGTCGTATAGGAAGTATTTTTCCACTTATATCTTGACTCACTTTCAGAAGTCCTTTTTTAAAACAAGGTCTTGCTCTATTGCCTAGACTGGAATACAGTGGCACGATCATAGCTCATGGCAGCCTCAAACTGCTGGGTTCAAGTGATCCTCCCACCTTAACCTCCCAAGTAGCTGAGACTACAGACACACACTACCACACCTGGCTAATTCTTTATTTTATTTTATTTTATTTTGAGACAGAGTCTGGCTCTGTCACCCAGGCTGGAGTGCAGTGGTACTATCTTGGCTCGCTGCAAGCCCCACCTCCCGGATTCACGTCATTCTCCTGCCTCAGCCTCCCATGTAGCTGGGACTACAGGCGCCCACCACCACGCCTGGCTAATTTTGTTTTTGTATTTTTAGTAGAGGGGGAGTTTCACCATGTTAATCAGGATGGTCTCGATCTCCTGACCTCATGATCTGCCCGCCTCGGCCTCCCAAAGTGCTGGGATTACAGTCATGAGCCACTGCACCTGGCCATTCTTTTTATTTTTTATAGAGACAGGGTCTCTCTGTGTTACACAGGCTAGTCTCAAACTCCTGGCCTCAAGAGATCCTGCAACGTTGGCCTCCCAAAGTTCTAGGATTACAGGCAGGAGTCACCATGCCCAGCCTACTTTCAGAAGCCGTTTGAATATGAATACTTTATTATTTATATTTCACTGAAGGTATGATATGTGTGTATTTATTGCATATGTTGTATATATTTAATATGTCTACCATATTTTTAGAGAATGGGGGTTTTTAATGCTTCCAAATTGAGATTGTAAACTCTTTGAGAGCTGTATTGTGTCTTCTGTTTAGCATGCTTCTCTAGGTGTAGTAGTGGTGGTGGTGGTGGTGGTAACTGTTTTTATAAATTAACTATTTTCCAGACATTGTGAGAGGCACTTAACAAACATTATCTCATGTACTTCTGACAACCCAAGGAAGTAGTTACTATAATTATCCCCATTTTACATCTGAGAAAATTCCTTAAGGAAGTTGCCCAAGGTTATAGGACAAGTAAAAAACAGAGCTGAGATTGGAACCCAGAGAGTCTGACTCAAGAGCCTGCAATGTAAAAGAACTATTCGCTGCCTTCTGAATTACACCTCGAATTCTTTGTAATTTTGTTTTGTTTTGTTTTAGACAGAGTCTTACTCTGTTGCCCAGGCTTGGGTGCAGTGGAGTCCTCATAGCTTACCACCGCCTTGAGCCTTGACCTCCTAGGCTAAGGCTATCCTCCCATCTCAGCTTCCCAAGTAGCTGGGACTATAGGTGCATACCACCATACCTGGCTAATTATTATTATTATTTGTAGAAATGGGGTCTTGCTATGTTGACCATGCTGGTCTCAAACTCCTGGTCTTAAACGATCCTCCCACTTTGGCCTCCCAAAATGCTGGGATTACAGGCATGAGCCACCATGCCTGGCCAATTCTTAGTAATTCTGATTGACTACACTTAGTGTATTCAGAGAGAGACATTCATTTCTGCTCTTTGCCTTCAATAGATAGACTGCCAATTAAGTGTTGGGTAGAACACATTATTAAAAATCAACTTTTGACATATTGGTAAAAATCTGAGGAAACTAACACTTTGCGAGAAACTTAGAAAATGTTAATGCATTATTTTTCTTTCTTTTTTCTTTTTTTTTTACTAAAGAGAAGATTCCCCTCAACCTGGTCCATCCCCTTGATGGTGAGTTAAGAAGGTGAATTTTGAATGGGAAAAGAGAAAATTTACTCAAATTAGTGAAAGAGCTTTTGAGGCCCTGAGGTTGTTATGGGACTTAGTATTAGGAAAGGAGTGTAAAATTGTAACACTTATGGCCGTGGGGCAGATTGCAAATACTTTAATCTTTTGACCGATTTCGGTTATGGAACTTGGAATGATTCATCATTTATATAAATTATCATTGCTACCCCAAAACAGAAATACTGTTGCAGGGCGTGGTGGCTCGTGCCCGTAATCCCAGCACTTTCGGAGGCTGAGGCAGGTGGATCACGAGTGCAGGAGATCGAGACCATCCTGGCTAACACAGTGAAATCCAGTCTCTACTAAAAATACAAAAAATTAGCCAGGCGTGGTGGCCGGTGCCTGTAGTCCCAGCTACTAGGGAGGCTGAGGCAGAAGGATGGCATGAACCCGGGAGGCGGAGCTTGCAATGAGCCGAGACCGCGCCACTGCACTCCAGCCTGGATGATGGAGCAAGACTCCGTCGCAAAAAAAAAAGAAAAGAAAGAAATACTGTCTCTTACTAACTGGTTGATATTGGCATAAGTACACTTTAATATACATATTAATAATGACTCTTTTCTGGGAATGTTCATCCCAAAACACAGGGAATGAGTTTGTTCTCATTGTTTGACCTGAGGGCTAGTATTTGGTTCTTTGATTAAATAAGAGGTCCCATGGAATACTGGGGAGGGGAGGGTATAAGAAAAGGTCCCATGTGCTGCAGATGGCCAGGTTGGATGTGGCAGTTGGTGCAAGCATAAATCAAAATGGTAAAAGTAAAAATGAAACAAAACCAAAAATATTCAACCAGATGATGGGTCATGATTGTGAGGTTGGTGGAATTTTATATAATGTAAAATTCTAGTTTATCCCTTAACTTTTCTACTATTCAGCACATATTTAGGCTTGTTGGTATTCATAGTATACATCTCTTAACATAATTAATTCCCCTTTGGCAAATACCATGTTCTGCACTTCATTTAACTGTGCTGGGCTGCAGAGCCTTAGGGATCACACCTGAATTTCATTATGGAAGTTTAAGTAATTAATAAAGAGAGGAATCTTA